TTTTATTTATTTATTTATTTATTTATTTATTTATTTATTTATTTATTTATTTTTCCTCCTCCATGATAAACTTGCGTTAAGTTTCAGGAAACATGGAGAACAGTTGTCACCACTGTCAATCTTAGCTGCACTGTGGTGGGTGGTGACTGCTGGTGCCGTGGGGGGAGGTGTGTGTGGTTATACTGAAGGCCATAAATCCCCTCTCCAAAGTGCCAGGCTAACTTAGACCGAGCTTTGTTGTGAACCTCAACGTGGTGGTCCATTCCTGTTGTAAGTAGTATCTTTCTTTGCTTTATGGTACTGGGAGTTGAATCTGTGGCCTCAAGCATTCTAGACAAGCATTCCATTGAGCTGCATCCCCATTCTGTTATGTCTTAAAATATGACTTCACCTGCACCTGCTTTGATCCAGTGACTATGGCTCCATGACCATTCTAGTAAAAGTCCTTTAATACCTTCACCATACCCTATGTAGCTACCACCATCATTTCTACACTTTAAAAAGAATCAGTATGAAAAAGTGATATATCTGATAGGTGTTTAAGTAGTATAAAGAGTTCTGTGCCAGAACTTGTTCAACCTTCTGACATTGTGATGTGACACTGTCACCAAGTGTGTTGGGCCACGTTATTAGCTCTCCTGGGATACACATGGTCTGTGCTCAGCAGGTTGGAGATGTCCACTAGACCTTGTGCTGTGATTCATTTCCCGATTCCATTGGGCTCATCTCCAGCACCCTTCTGCACCTCTTTCCTTATCCTGTGCTTTGGGAAGCTTCCCTTCTGGGCTGAACTTCTTAACTTTGACCATATTCACCAAGAAACATCTTTTACAGTAAACTCTTCTGACTTAAGCCTTCAGTTAGGGTAAGCATTCTCTAGAATGCAGTAGGGGTGGCATCCTTTCACGTCACTTCTTTGGCATTTTTTTTCTACAAATCTTTCTCCTCAAAAGCCTTGGTGGTACCCCCATGTTAGTCTTGTAGCTATCTACCTTTGTTGTAGCATCAGACTCCAGCTGGAACTGTCATGAAAGTTGAAGTGCTCACTTCTTCCATGGTCACAAGAATTGGGATCAGTGGAGAACAAGTTTTCCATCTTGTTTGCCTGTTTGTTCTCCCTTTCCATTTATAGTGCATATACCTTATAAAATATTCCTTCGTTCTGAGCCCTCAGTTGCCCTCAGTTTTTGCTTGGGCCACTTCATGAAATTCGTTACTGTTCTATTTTTCTTGAATTCTCCATGAGATATCATTAAAACAGGATATGATGCTCCAGCTGTAGATTATAACTGCTGAAGACCCTGCCTGAGGTAAGAGCAGATGCCACAGTCAAAACCATGATGTTTGGAGTCCTTTGCAGCTAGCCCCAGTTTACTCTCCTGTCATTTCACCAACTCTCCTTCAGTTTCCAGAGACCATAGTTCTTCCTGTGCACCTTACCACACAGATGGTTCTAGAACTCAGTAAAGTATCAGCCCTTATCCTACTTCCTCTGGCTTACCAGGCCTGTCCCTGCTACCTTCTGCTTCCTGTGTTCCTGTTAGTGTCCTTTACTTGATCAGTTCTTCACCTGTGTTGTGGACATATGTGTGTCTCATTCTCTGCCCTCCTCCCACACAACTGGCAAAGATTTGGTGCTTCAAACATTGAACTTGGTGTTTTTGTCCCTGGAGGACTGGGACTTGGGCCACCAGCAACCAGGAGAACAAATTCTGGATATTTATCTGTATGTGTTGTAATGCTTCAGTCAAGTGCCAGAAACATTTGGGTCTCAGGCATTGTCCAGACCAGTATTTATGTGCAGAATAACTGGTATGTAGAGTGAAGTGCAGTTCCCCAGAATGGGCTGTCATGCCCTTACATTGTAATGTTGTTGACCACAAGTTCTTGACCTAAACAAGTTCATTATGTAATCTCCCCACCCCTTTTAGCAGGATTTGTTGCATTTCACCTCTGAGTATTAACCCTCAACACGGAGTGATGCTCCTGTTCTTAACTGGTACCTAGGATTTCTGAAGCAGACTTCTAAACTTCTCTGTCCAAGGAGTCTTTGGGGGACTAGGTGGAACAGTATCTACTTGGTTTTAATTTAGGATTACTACCTGTGGAAGATGTAGAGAGCATTAACAGGACCTGAGAGGACTTACCACTGCAAAGACCAGTGTTTCAACATGAGGAAACCCAATCTATCCACTCACCTGGTAGGGGACTTTAGCTCCAGAAGGCAGCGACAGAGGAAAGTTAAGTTAGGGTCACAGCTAGATTGAGATGCAATCTGATGCACCATGGTGAGTGGTCCTTTCCCTCCCTCCACCTAAGAACTGGGGAGGGAGTGGTAAAATCTAACTGCAGGAGAGCAGGAACTGCAGTGCTGGTTTCTTGCTTCCTGGTCCCATGCATTCTCCTCCACCACAGGCCCATGTTCCTTTTCTGGAGATAAATGCTCTCTAGAAAATGTGCTGCCCTGGTAGATGAACCACACATCCCTCAGCCTCTCGTCTGGCATCCCTTTCTTAGATTTTTATGAGTAATGCCAATAATCTGAGGAAGGCTGGGCCATGTCAGGAGGATTGGTTCTGTGCCATTCCTGACTGAGCTCAGCAGGCCTACCTGTTCTTCCTATGACCCCCCGCCACTATGATCAGGGGTCTCTCAACTCCAGAGCACTTTTTCCCAAAGCAGATCAGCTCCACTAGGCTGCCCTTCAGTGTAGGAAGTTCCTCCAAAGGGGCCTTAGGGAAAAGGATGAGCAGAAAAGGTCACCCACTTTGTTCCGGGAAGTTAGGTGAGAAGGAGGTATCTCAGATGTGTGTGTGTGTGTGTGTGCGTGTGTGTGTGTGTGCGTGTGTGTGTGTGTGCGTGTGTGTGTGTGTGCGTGTGTGTGTGTGTGCGTGTGTGTGTGTGTGCGTGTGTGTGTGTGTGCGTGTGTGTGTGTGTGCGTGTGTGTGTGTGTGTGTGTGCATGTGTGTGTGTAAAAGAGGACCCAACAAGATCTTTTTAAACAATTCTAATCCATCCCTTCAACATGGATGGTTCACGATTCTTTGGTATAGAGAGCTGTTGGAAACTAAAGTCGTGAGGAAATGTGATTCCTTATGCTTGATTCCTTATGCTTGACCAGGGCTTTAGAGCTCCTTGAGTACATGTTGTGTACGTTTTACCTTGTGAGCCTCAAAACCTGAGACTAATAGCTGCATTCCCACTTGACATCATATGAGGAGGCCACAGAGATCTGGCTGCAAGGCCCTGTGCCCCCCACCCTTGCCCCTCCGAAGTTCCTCTATAAACTCTACATTGCATGCTAATGCTCATTGTTACATGGGCCCCCTCTCCAGGGTTGCAGTGGTGTTGAATTGCCTGGTAATTGATCTGTTTCCACTGAGGAAGGAATTCCTTGGACAGGCCAGCAACTTTTCTCAGACAACTGTCCCTTTGTGAACCATGTTGGGCACCCACTGAAGGTGCGCATGTGTTTGGAGGGAAGAGTCCCTAAATGCCAGGTCCTGTGCTAAGCCTTATCATTTGATCTCCCAACAACTCCAAACAGATGAGGCGATCCCAAAAGTCAAAGTTAGGCTGCCTCTGGGGTGCCTGACTTCAGGCCTGGGACTTTTAGTCCCTCCACAGTATGCTGTGTGTCTCTGTGTTTCTCAGGGCGGCAGGTTGAAGAGGCATCAGGGAGCAAATACCCTACCTTCCAGCAGGGGCTTTTGAGTGGGAATAAGGAGGAAGGGAAAGCAATTGGTTCAACTGATTTGTTAGCTAAAAACTGAAGGCTGCAAGATGGCTTAGCGAGTAAGAATGCTTGCAACCAAATGTGATAGCTTACCTGAGTTCGCTCCCAAGACTCACATGGTGGAAGAAGAGAACCCATTACCACAAGTTGTCCCACTCACTATGTAGACCAGGCTGGCCTTGAACTCACAGAGATCCACCTGCCTCTGCCTCCCGAGTGCTGGGATCAAAGGTGTGCACCACTAAGCCTGGTGTAATAGGTTTTTTGTTTTGTTTTGTTTTTTTAAAAGAAAAAATGATGTTAAAACAAAGTGCTATTGTGTAGACATGAAATTTTAAGTTAAAATTGAACTAGAAACAGCACCTTCCTTCCCCTGTCCCCCTTAACCAAGAGCATAGAGCACATGGGCATTTATACTACCTGTGGGCTGGAGAGGAGGTAGGGGTGTGTGTCTGCACATGTCAGAAACCAGCCCACCTGGGCTAGAACAGTGAAACTGAAACTGGAGGGGCTCAGAAAACTTATGGAAGAACCTAAAGCAGTTACTGGAGTCAAACATCTGTGGATTTTCATGCACTAAAAATAAGTTGGCTCATCTTATCCTTAAGTAAACGCTACAGCGGGGCAA